GTAGTTATGGGCCAGGGACCTTGACTTTGCCTGTCTTCTGGGAGCTGAGAAACGGGAAACCACAGGGTCTGGAAGGCTGGATCCGAAAGGGTAAAGTGGAGGACGCTGAGCCAGCGTGCCCAGCTTCGTTTCACCAGCTCCGCAAACAAGACCATAAATAAATCCCCTCGGAGAAGAAGAACTCCACTCCAGAGCCCAGGCCTGACTGCAGTGAGGGGTGCTGCCAGCTGAGGGCTTGTTGGGATCTGGACAGCCTCTCACAGTTCATCAAGTCACTTTCCCCAAGTGGCAGCATTGGCCGGCTGGAGCCAGGACAGGACAGGAAGCGGTGGGGGAGGACTGACGGACCCTTATCACCCCAGATTAGATGCCTCTGTGCCTGTCCTTCATCTTGTTCTTTTCAAAGGCACGAAAGAACTGGGCAAACTCTTGGAGCAAAAATAAAGTTTGGAGAACAGCCCTGGGCCTCTGGAAGTAGGAGCTGTAGGCAGTACCTGAGGCCAGACAAGATAAAAGTGGGCATTCTGGGCAGAGTAATGATTTAGCAACCTGCAGTATTCTTTAAGTATTCCAAATTAATTTAGAAGAGAAATTATTTCTAAGAAAAATACCTTCAAAACAAGGATAAATGTGTTCTCTAACCAGAAAAATATTTTTAAGAAGGTAAAGCATTTCCAAATTTACATAACGGAATGAATTCTTCCAGGGAACAATACAATATGGCATGCCACCCTTGGTTTTGTAATTTGGACTGATTGCTGCTATTAATATACAGTGGCACCTATAGTGAGAGGTCGGTGCCCTTCAGGACTGTTTTCCACGTCTCCAACTTTGTAGGAATTTGCCAGCTACCTGCCCGGAAGCTGCAGTTAACTGGTGTTGCCTTTCTGATTGGTTCTTCTAATGGTTTAGCTTCCTGGGGCATGAGTTTGCTGCGTGGCTGGCCATTCCCCATGGTCTGACTTTACTTGCCTGAGTGGTGTTGAGGGATTTAATTAGGCCTTTCTAATTCCCTCTTAGTGATTCTCAATTTGCTGGTTGATGCCTGAAGTTTCATGTGCCAGATACAAACTTTAATTGCACAATCAGAAGCTTACAATGTGTGCACCCTGGTGGAAGTAATACTGTATACAAATTTGAAACTAAATAGCAGATGAAGGATTTTGAGCAGAGAGCAGGTTTGAGGGGATCCCAGAGAGAAAACCTACCTGGAAACAGTATCTGGCTGGGAAAAGAGTATTTTGTCAGTCACCCAGTTTGATCACTGGGGCAGTTTTGCTAAGAATGAGGTCCCAAATGGATCATCAGGGAATGAGCAGGAAGCAGAGAGGGAACGTGATCTCCCGCTTAGAAGTTCAGTACTCCTGCCCAAGGCTCACGATGATTTGGGGTCAGCTCTCAGAAGCAACAGGACAGGTAGAGGTGACACAGGTGGCCTTCATGTAGGTGCTACAGCTAGACAGTCATCTGTTGGCCGTCCAGCTTTGGTTCAGAGAAGGAAGTGCCATAGGTTTATGTGGGGACATTTTGGATAATCTTTTCAAAGGGGATGACTTTGTTAAGTCAAGTCTTTGCCCTTTCCTGGTACACTGGGGAGTTCACATCCTGTGACTCCAGAGTATTTTCTTCCTTGGGACCCATTCCTGGCTTCGACATCAACCCTGGTCTTTGAGTTCAGTAAGAAAAAAATTAAACAATCAAATGCAACCCTAACTTTGAAAGTGTGGCGTTGAAGAGAGTTTGTACAAAAAATCACCCCTCTACCCTAAGGTGGAGAAGATGCCACTGACATTCCTTCTGCTTAAAACTCAGTGGTAAGTGTCACCAGCAGTCCAGTGAGAAGCTATTACCTTCTGTCACTGGTTGGCCCAGGGCAGTGAGAGGCACTGGGTTGGGAGAGGGTTTGGGTCTAAGCTCTGTCCCTGTTACCTTGGTATTGGTTTCCTGGGGGCTTTTGCACCCAAATACCACAAACTAGGTGACTAAATAAACAAAAATTTATTGTCTCCTGGTTCGGGAGGCTAGGGGTCCCAAACCAAGGCGATCCAGGGCTCAGAGGGAGAGTGAGTTCCATCCTCTCCTCACCTTCTTGTGTGTTTGACTGGCAGCTTTGGGCATTCCTTGGCATGCAAATACATCATGCCAACCTCTGCCCTCACCTCATCTCTACAATAAGTGTCATGTGCCCAGGTCCAAATTTCCCTGTTTGTAAGAACATCAGTCATACTAGACTAGGGACCTCGCTAAGTTACCTCATTCTAACTTGACCAGTTGTGAAGACCCTTTCTCTGAGTCAGGTCACAGATACAGGTCCTGGAGGTTAGGACATCAACCTCTTTTGGGGGAGACACAATTCAGCCTGCAACATCCTCCATAGAATTAGAAGGCTCCAACACAAAGGTTTTGATTTATGACGTTTAGGGTGGCCTGGACATATTCTCAGAAATCATCCTAAAAGGATTCGGCTGTGCACATGGTTGCTGCTGATACCCTTTCTATTTGTGGAACCTGTGCTGGCTGGTGATGTGGCAGCCGTGCGAGGGTCTCTGAGGCCTGAGGGCTCACATCCAGAGGACTGGGCTGGGATCACCAAGTACTGTCTTGCAAAAGGCTGGGGCCGAACCACAGGATCACTCTTAGCCCTGAACTGTACCCTATTCTAGAAGACTGGAAGTGAGGGGAAACATTCATTATTTCATGTCTGTCAGGTCACTAGGCCTACAAAGATGAAAGACAAGCCCCCTGTGCTCAGGAGAGACAGGTAATGAACAGTCTAGCTAATGAAAGAACAGCTTATCTCACTATCATCCCTAGATTTTGGAAAAGTGTCTCCTGCCCTGGTCCCTACTTGCCCTCTGATGACTCTGCTCACTGGGCAGGGCCTGTGGGCTCTGTGGTTCCTTCTAGGGCTGGGCTCCAAGTTCTCAGACTCCTGGTATCCCTCCCCAGATGATATGAGCTCGTCCCCAGGCCTGCATGGGCCCCCCCTCCCAGGTGTGCTTTCCCAAGGACCAACCGCTGCAGGGGTGTGTCCCTCCCACCCAGAGTGGCTGAGTGACAATGTGTGCATGTGCACAAAACTTCACCTGCAGAGGTGTCTACACGTGCACATAAGGACTTGAGAAGGGACAGGGTTGTGGGCTGGATGCCCACTCTACTGTGACCTTCCTGGCCCATAGGTGTCACTGATTGTGTCAGGGTAAGAGGATTGAGCATATTGTATGCAGCAAATTGTTAGCTTGACCCATGACATTGGATTATTTGGAATGTGATTTGTGGCTCTCTATTTGAACTTTTGAGCCCCCCAAACCAACTCAATAAAGTTGTATTTAGAAGAGCAGTAGAAACATGTTTCTCAGGTGAAGGGGGGGAATCTGTTATTTTCTGTTCCCTTTCAGATGGGGTTTACAGAGAGGGAATTTACAGGTGCTATATTTGGTACATGGGCCAGCTGTGGCAGATTAAACGCCAAGTTTTGTTCCTGGGAGGCTGGAATATTTAAAGTATTTATCTCTTAGCAAACAACTGGTCTGTTTTGGGTGTGTGTGTGTCTGGGTGAATAAGGCTGGGGAAAGATAATTTCATTACTCATTTTCAGAATGAAATATTGTGAAGAGTCTGCCTTCAGGGGGTTCTAGGGATCGAACCCAGGGTCTGTGCATGCCAAGCACTTCTGACCACCGAGTTACACCCCTAGCCCCAAGCATCTGCCTTGAGGAGAAGACTAGAAGTGAAGGGAAACATTCATTGTCGAGGCCAGGGAACCTTTTCTGTGAGGTGCTGGTTGTTTTGTTTTGTTTTTGTACCGCTGACAGGTCTTGGTGTGCCAAGAAAAAGCCATTGTGGCCTCAGCCGGATGCAGAGTATAACAGCTCTCCCCATGCCTCTTGGAGGAGTAGAAGAAGAATTTGAGGCCAAGGAATTCTGATTGTTTTAAGCCCCTGAGCCAGAGTGTTACAGGGCCATTAGCAGCACAGAAGGTTGCAGCTAATAGACTCGCTCAGTCATTTTGCAGGATGTCAATAAAACTTGCTTCACCGGTGTAGAACCAAGAGTCATCATGAAGGAAGTAGATAAAGGGACCCAACGCCACATATATTCGAGCAATTACAGAGTCTCATTTCCCCTTGTTGACTGTAGTTTAAAGCCAGTGTAATCATATTGATGACATCATTCACCCAGGACGCCTTCTGGACACGGAGCCCTGGGTGGAGAAGCAGGAGGAATGAAAAAGCGGAAGCGTCTGAGATGTCCCGCGGGGTTTTCTGACTTGATTCTGCTTGCTGCTTGCGTGAAATGAAACTGAATTCAGATGAAAAAGAATAAAAGGCTCTAGATAAACACTGGTAGGAAAGGATTATTGGTGGGGTTCTCAGGAAGCTGGAGTCATGTAGGTCTGAATTATTTTAGAAGCATAAGATTCATACTTGGGTCCCTCCTGCCAGTTTGCTCTGGCAAGCACCCACCTCCATTGTGATCCAAATCTCTCAGGGTCCAGCCATGGAAGACAGAAATGTGGGCTATTTCAAGCAGGGAATTTAGTGCAGGTTCCTAATACAGCTGAGATGCCACATGGGATATTCAGGCCCCAGAGATGGCGAGGGTAAGAAGCTGCTCCTCCTCTAGGGTGAAAGATTGGCTCACTCTGAGAAACTTGGAACCAGGAGCACCCGGGCCTGAAGGATGCACAGCCATTCTGGAGAAGTTGCTGAAAAGGGATCTGGAAGAACCACCGGTGTCCCCCGTCTCCAACCACTATCCTTTGGTTTTTCTGCAGGATCCTCCACTGGCCAAACTTGGTCAGAAACAAACTCAGAATGGAACCCATAGTGTGTGACCTTTCTGTGATAAGAGCAGGCCAGGACCTGCTTTGGGTCATAGATGTCATTGACTCCAGTAGCTTTGTATGAGTCCCTTGATTTGCCCACTGCTGCTGCTAGCCCACCCTGCTAGCCGGCTATCCTGGGTTCCTGACCGCTGATAGTCCTAAAAGCCCACAAGTCAGAGTGACAGTGGATTTGGAGGCCTCCCTCCAGCTGTTTGCATGTCAAAGGAACAAATGTTTATATGCGTGGACATATGGTGGCAGTGAATGTCCCTCCAGCTCACTCAAAGATGCTCCTAATTACAAAACAGCTGCGGAGGTTGAGAGGCTAAGGGATTGATGATTGGGAGTTCACTGCAGGGTAGTGGTTCCAGGTGAAAGGTCAGCATTGCAGGGATTATCAAGGGAGGGAGGAAAGTCATCATTGGCAGGGGAGAGCGGAATGGATTTTCTCAGAAGCGGAATGGTCCCTCCCGTGCTTGAAAGTTGGGAAAGGATATCACGTATGTGGATGCTTAGGGCCAGCATGAGCCAGGTGGAGAATAGAGGCAGCAGTCGGGGAGGAGAGGCTAATAGAGGAGCGAAAGCTTCTGATTTGGAGCTTCGGCTTCGTGGAAGAATGCCCAGTGCCTTGTACTGGTGCTTGGGGGTGACCAGGCACCGTTTGAGCTTTTGCAGTTGGATACAACATGTTACTTGGATTCTTCAGGGATTCTCCTTTCTCCAGAACATCCGGAGTCAGAGCCCAAAGAGAATCCAGGGGCTGAGGGTCCGCTGCTTCCTTTGTGTTCTTCTCACTTTCTCTGAGCACAGAAATGCTGCCCCTGTCCTGTAGGGCACTCACTCCTCACTCTCTCGGCCCACAGGTGGATCTTGAGCGTACCTTTACATTTCGAAACTCAAAGCAGACCTACAAAGGGATTCCCATCATTGTGGCCAACATGGACACCGTGGGGACATTTGAGATGGCAGTCGTGATGTCACAGGTGAGATGGAAGGTCCTCCTGCCTCTGCGGCTCACGGTATGGTGAGGTTGGCAGGAGCCCACCCTGGACTCGCATTCTTTGGGCTTGGAGTCTGTCTGTTGCTACACCCACTTCTGTGAGAATGCCCGGGAGAGACTTGGAAATTAGAGATTCACACATGAGTTAGAACATGAGAAGTGTCATAGAAGAGGGACATGGCTTTTAAAGTTAGGACCGGGGGACGTGGTCTGCAGTCGGTGCTACATAATGATTAAGCCCCACTGGATATAATGTGTCTAGATTATTCTTAATTCACAACTCCACAGTTTAGGTTTATGGATGAGAAAACCTAGGCAGAGGGAGGGAGGGAGGGATGAGGGGCCTTTAGCCAGGGAGAAAGAGGCAGGACTTAGTCCAAACTGACTCTAGAATCCAAGGGGTTTACCTTTCACTCAAATGACAGCTCTCAGGAGAATCTCAAGGTTCCAACTACTCATCTAATTGCCAATACGGAGAATTGGTAGTTTCTTGGCCTTGGGGAAAATAAAGGAAATGCCGTTTGTAGGCAAGACTGGGTCTTGCATGGCTGTGTCTGACGTGCGGAGCCTCCAGGGCCTCCGTGTTGAGACGTTTGCCCATGTGTATGGGGTGGAGTGTCTGTTTCTGTCCATCAGGCCTGCCAAGTGCAAGGGTAAATCCAATTAGTAGACAGAGCTTCTCACGGTGGGCAGCAAGTCTAGCAGCAGGAGGCGCCGGGACTCATGATTAGGCAGTGATTAGAGTGAAAGGATTCTCAAACAAATTATGAGCTCAAAAAACAGAGCAGGGGGTTGTCCATCTGACTGTATGACCTGTTGTATCCTCTGTCAGTTCTCAGTCCCCAGGGAGCTTTGGGCCAGAGGCTAATAAATTAATTGCTACAAGGATGTGGCATTTTTTCTCTCCATCTTTCCCTTCTCTGCTGTCATTAGTCACTGCTATTAATGAACAACCTATTAGTGTATGCTATGGTTTGGATAAGTGGCCCCCAAAGACTTGCTTTACTAGATGATGTTGGAGCCTTTACAGGGGGTGGGAGGGGGCCCTAGGTGGAGGTCAGTATGTCCTTGGGGGCCTGCCTTAGAAGGGGATTGTGGGATCCAGCCTCTTCCTCATTCCCTTTTGCTCTCTAGCTTGTGATGAGGTAAGTGGTTTTGCTCCTACCATAAGGTGCTGCCTCACCACAGTTCCAAATAGTGGAGCCCATTGTTCGTGGACTGGAACCTCCAACACTGTGAACCCAAATAAACATTTTCTCCTTATAGGTTAACTGTCTCAAGTGTCTTCTCATAGCCACAGAAAGCTAACTAACATAATGTAAAAATGAAGAGAATCAGGGAATAATAAATTGCTTGGTTAATTCACGTATCAAATTATTATTAGTCCATTAAAAACCTAGAACTTGCTGTGCCCTCCCCATTTTCACCATGACCGTTTCCCCATGAATGAGATCACGAAGCTAATAATACTGTCCAAACGTATTCGGAGAAGGAAATGAAATAAGGCCTGCCAAGCACTGGCACAACGATAGTAAAGGCTGGGTCGAGAGGCAGAGATTTAGGGTTACAGTTTGTGTAACCCTAAGCATGTCAACTGTCCGATGGGTTTAGCTTGTAACAAGAAGCAGTTAGCAAAGAGTGAACACAAGAAAAAGCTTTCACATACTGTTACTGGAGTCCCACGTCGGAGGGCCTACTCTGAGGACCCCCCAAAACCAGGTCTGGCCACTCACCCCAAAAAACAAACATAAAAAGTAATGGTGAAAAGCAGGAAAGGAACTTTCCATCTATGTCGCCTCATTGGGAAAGCAAAATAGGTCCAATGTCAGCCTGTCTAGGGGTGTTGACAGGGGCCTGAGGGTTAAGTGAGGAAGGGATCCGGGCAAGAGGGCTGGGTCATGAGGCAGTCTGGGAGAGCCTGCGGTCTGGTTGGTCATTCTTGGTTCTGGTTTTGGGAGGCCCTTATTGCTTGATAGGGGGCAGCCTCCACTCTGCAGGAGGCAGCTTGGTTCTCATGAGACCACTGCTCCTGCTTGGGGTGGGGGTCGGGGGAGACTCATCTGGCTGATTTCCCGTAGAGCCTGCTGTTCCAGGAAGGTACAGGCAAATGGCTGGAGACATCTAGGTGCTGCTCTAGGGGAGAGGGCTCCTGTGGCTGCTCATCCTAATGTCATTGTCACCGTCTGTTTCCTAGCACTCCATGTTTACAGCGGTTCATAAGCATTACACCCTGGAAGAGTGGAAGGTTTTTGCCTCAAAGCACCCGGAATGTCTTCAGGTAAGACTCTGCTAGGGTTTGTCTCCAAGTACCTCTGGGAAGAGAGAGTTGTCAGAAGCTTGTGAATCAGCAGATAGATACACTGGGGTGGTGGTTCCCAGCCCTGTGTCACTCCAAGGGCTTGCTGATTCCACCTGCTCTGTGGCACCTTATGTAAATACTAGGGTTTACCTGCTTTCCCTGGAGAGGTGAAGTGTTTTCTATCAGCTCCCAGGGAGACCTGTGCTTCCGGCCAGGTGTTTCAGGGTAGACCCAGCCCGTGTAAAACCCTCCTTTGCAGCAAGTCGTTTTGGAGTTCAGTGAGCAGTATGCCTGCTGGAACAGCTGTCATCAGATAGGAAGTGCCACTGAGGTCACGGAAAAGTTGGAACCCTCGTATGGCGCTGGCAGGAATGCGAGATGCTTTGGAAAACAGTCTGGCAGATTCTCAAAAGGTGAAACCTAAGAGTTGCTGCAGGACCTGGCAGTTATGTTTCTAGGTGTGGCTCTAGCATATGTGAAGACACACACACACACACACACACACACACACACACACACAGAGAGAAACTTGCTGATGTGTTTTCATAGGAGTATTATTTCTAGTAGCCTCAAAGCAGAAAGAGCCCAAATATCCACCAGTAGCTGGAGGGGTACACAAATTAGGATGTAGCCATGTGATAGCAGATGGTATTATTCAGCCACAAGAAGGAATAATGGGCTGGTTCATGTGGCCGCGTGGATGAAGCCTGAATGTTTTGCTAAGTCAAAAAGCCAGATGCAAAGTGATTCTGTTGGCATGAATTGTCCAGAATGGGAAATCTGTAAACATAAAATGGATTAGAGGAAGCGGGAGGCAGAAGAGGGGTGATGGTTAAGAAGTGTGGGAGTTTCTTTTCGGGAATCATGAAAATGTTTTAAAATGGGTTGCCATGAGGCTGGGGTTGCAGTTCAGTGGTGAGTACTTGCCTGGCATGTGTGAGGCCCTGGGTTCGATCCTCAGCACCACATAAAAATAAATAAAATAATTGTGTCCATCTCTAACTAAAAAAAAAAAAAATTAAAAGTAGAAAATAATAGGTTGTGGTGAGCACACAACTCTGAGTTTGCCAAAAGTCATGGAATTGTGCACTCCGGGTATGTCCCATCCCAGAAAAGTGTCCAGGAAAAAAAAAAAAAGGACAATTTTAAAACAGCAATAAAAATTCCTAGGGTAGCACTGTCCTTCCTGAACCTACAGGTGGTTTGACCCAGATGCAGCAGGGAGGTCTCCCAGGGTGACAGTTCTCCCTCCCCACAGTCAGCTCATTTGTGATTCGAAGAGGATTTGGGACATTAACTGCGTGGTGGTGGTGGGGTCTCTCTTTGTGCTGATGCTCCCACCCTCCTTTAGTTAGGGGTGGGCTTCATTATTGAGAAGGTGGTTTTGGAGAGGAAATCATTTTGGTCAACAGCAAGACCTTCATTTTTTGCTGAATTGTATTCAAATGTCTTAGACCATTGTCCCTGGCTGTGGGTGGGGGGACTGCTTCTAGGACCACTCCGCAGATACCAAACTTCTTGAATGCACAAGTGTATCCATATATTTGCATATAAACTAGGCACATCCTTGTGCACACTTGAGATCAGACCAGATGTGCTGGGCCTGCACCATTAACCCATCTCTAGATGGCGTGCCTGATGGAGTGCTCATGCTCTGTAGACAGTTGTAACCTGTATTTTTCAGAGACTGGAGCCCTAGGCCAGAGGCTTGACTCCAGAGGTCCCAGCAAACCGACATGGTCACTTCCCCCAAAAAGCAGAACAGAAAAGTAATAGGGAGAGCAGGCAAAGCACTGCCATCAGGCGGGCCACCTTGGGAAGGCACAGTGAGACTCAGCATCTCAGCCTGGGGTCGGTGCTGCCTGCAGCTTCGGGTTTCATTAGGAAGGCGTGAGGTCTGCGCAGGGGGTGGTCTCCGTCCAGGTGGCAGGTTGATACCTGCTTCTGTTCTGCAAGGTGGCTCCCAGGAAGGCCTTGTGGCTTGAGGGGCGATTTCCACTTGTCATTCAGGGTGTTTGTCCATCACACTGTGATCCTGAAGGGGGCGGTTTAGTTCCCATGAGGTGATTGTCCCTGCCTTCAGGGGAACAGTCCTGTGGGGTGAGCTCTTGGAAGTTGTAGGACAATGAGAAGTTCTAGGTGCCACACCAGGAGTTGGATGCGTAGAAGCTGACAGGTGTCCCTGGAGCTCAGTCTTGGAGGGGGATGAGATAGGCCAGGTAAATGTGAGGCTAGGAAACCTCCTAGTCCTGGTTTTTAGAGAGCCCTGCCGCAGTCATTAACATGGCTGTGCGCAGAGCTGGGCAGAGGCCTGACCGTGGGTCGAAGCTAATGAAGAGGACGGGTCACATAATGGAGGCAGAGTCGCCAAGCTTTGTCCTGTTTCCGTTTCCCATAGGACATCTGCAGGCCCAAGTGAAGTCACTGCGGTTAGCAGAGGCAGCACCTCCAAGTCCCTCTTCCAGGTTGAGTGTCCCCACTTTGTTCTTGCTGGAAACATCCTCCCTCTTACCTGTCGAGTTTCTGTGCCATGATATGTTTGAACGGGTGGCTCCACTGTTTATAGTTCCACACAGGAATCTGGAGAAAATGATATGAAAGCCAAGGACAATATCTCCTGCATATTTAAGAATCTGTTTACTGAAAAGTTTTAGTGGCTGAGGCCCAAGTTTGAGGATATGTGTACTGCCAAGGTAGAAAAGATGGTGATCGAAGTTGAGCTGGTTTAGGGACACAGCTCTCCTCTGTCTCCTGAGCAGACCCGCTGTGAGTCGATCAGGTGGAACCTGCCAGGGATGCCTTTTTGTCCCCAGAGAAGCCACCTGGGAGGAGGCAGGGGGGTCTGCCGGGAATGCTCCTGCTCACGCCGACATTCTTGCTTCATCTTGGTACAGCACATGGCAGTGAGTTCGGGCAGTGGACAGAATGATCTGGAAAAGATGAGCAGCATCCTGGAAGCCGTGCCGCAGGTGAAGTTCATCTGCCTGGATGTGGCCAACGGCTATTCCGAACACTTTGTGGAGTTCGTGAAACTGGTCCGGGCCAGGTTTCCCGAGCACACCATCATGGTAAGTATAGCGGGATATTTCAAGGTGAGGAGGCAGAGGGATTCAGTGTCGGGGGGGACCTGCGTTCTTGTCATAGCCTCTTATTAAAAGGCTAGTTTGGAATCATTAGGAAAAGGAGAGGCAGCCGTGTGTGGTGGTGCACACCTATAATCCCAGCAACTCGAGAGGCTGAGCAGGAGGATCACAAGTTCAAGGCCAGTCTCAGCGACTTAGTGAGGCCCTGTCTCCAAATAAATACAAAGGGCTGAGGATGTGGGTAGTAGTAATACTGCTACCCCTCTGCACACCTCTGCCTCCAAACCCCCCCAAAAAGGAAAGGTAGCCACCTTGGAAGATCTGGAAACTCACTTTCCATTATAAAAATAAAACCCCACTTTCTTATTTTTGCTAAATATCATTCAGTGTTTCTTACCAGATGAGACCTTTGCAAAAGGGTCTTGCCACCTTCAGCAAAGAGCATGTGTTAAAGTAGGAAACACATAGCAGGGTTTCAGCTCTGCAGGGTTGTGTCCTCTGCACTGCACCCCGACTCTGCCGTGAGCACTGGACTCCACCGCGGGAATCTCCTGCAACAACCGTGGCCGGCGGATGGGCGTGTTGCTTTATCAGGTGGGATCTGTTTCCTGGCTCTCCCGATCACTAGCACCCTCACTACTTAGAATGCGTATTTGTGACTTCTGGGAACGGTGGATTTGCAGAAAAAAAGAAGTTGAAATCTCTAGAGTTGGGCCTTGGGGAAAATTTGTATCGTCGTTATTCTTCCTTGGTCTCGATTTCCGCAGTGATCACAGGTGGTCTGCTGGGTGTTCCACCTGCCCTCAGCTCTGTGGGGTTCGGAGCCTTTCATCAGGGCAAGGAAGTTGGGGGGCCCCAATTATTGGTTAATGGAGTTTAGTCTTCTGTGAAGGAACTTCTGAGGATCCTTAAGTCGTTTTATGCTCTTCCAGCCCACCAGGAGAAAGAGGTAAGAACTGAGCTGAGGCTGGCCAGCTGGTCCAGGGAGGCGTGGGCAGGAAGTGACAAAACTCTTCTCACCCTGCGTGAGAGCTCCGCTCACTTTAAAAAGAGTGGGTTCAATTCTGTGAAAGAACGAGGAGTCTGCTTCTGAGACGGACTCCTCAGCAGTCCTCTAGGTAAGGGGCCTGGAGAGTCTTTTGTGGTAAGATTTGGCCTTGGACCTGAGTTCCCAGGACCTCCCCTGGGTGTCTCGTCATCGCATCCTAAACCAGTAAGTCTGAGCTTCCTTGTCCAGAGTTTCCCTGGGTCTGAGCAGCTCCAGCAGAGGCCTTGGGAAGGGGCTCACGGGAGCCGCCAGTTGGTTCAGGATTTGTGGGTAACCTCCTTGTGACTGGCACCTGAGGTCAGAACCGAGTTGAATGGTAGGGTGCCTGGGGGGACAGTGGCTTGGTGTGTGTGTGGGACGGTTCCCTGAAGTGTTCTCTACTGTGTCGAATATGAGGAGTAAGAAAAAGGTGCGTGTTGTGTGTGTGTGTGGTTTTTTTTCTTTACAAGGACCTGCTGGTTTCAGGGGGTTCATGTCAATCTCCTGTCGTCTTTGTCAGATCTCTACAAAGATAGAAAGGGTCATCCCGCAGGTACTACAGATCAGGAATCTTAAACTCTGATTTGTTCTGGGTTTGGGGAATTTTCATAAAACACATCCACGTAAGTCTGAAGGCCATGCCAGCTGCCCGCTGAGGTGTGCCGGACACGCCCCTGCCCTCCTTCACCTCCCCCAGCACAGTTCCCTGCCTCCTGGTCCCCAGGTCACACAGTTGACCTCTGGGCTGGCAGTGGAAGGCATGGCTCCTGCCCCTGGTCCTGAGGCCCCCCTGGGTTTCTCTGTCCACACCCCCCTGTGGTAGCTTTTTCCTGGGACATTTTAAAGAAGGAACTGGAAGCTGACTTCCACTCCTTGCCTGGACCTGGTGGCCCGTAAACGGCATCCGTCATGGAACTCCGGTTCTCTCGCCCTGCCCAGGCTGGCCCCAGACCTCACCGGTCATTGCGGAGGAGGCCTCCTGTTGGAGGAGAGGGGGCTGCTGTTGACCGACCTGTCTGAGGTCTGGGTCCTCTCTGCTCCCCGGCCTCTCCTGGCCTAGTTGCTCTGGAGACGCAGGGATTGGCTAGGACACGGGGAGCCACACTCTCCATCTCCTGACATCAGGGCCCCAGGTTGGTTTCGAAGCACTAACCAGAAATTACACAGGTGATTTAGTAGCTCCATTTTATGTCTTCAGTAACTTTATGAATTGAAATATGAGATTCAGAAGAGCATATAAAACATGGAGGTTTAATAAAGAATCATAAAATAAGCACACGTCAGCTCACCTGTCCGCGGGAGCCCTTGACTTCCCACCTCAAGTGAAACACCCATCCCGACTGTGGTCCTCTCTTCCTTCTTTGTGGTTTGCCACTTACTTCTGCAGTCCTAAATGACACTTAGATTTTGCCCGGTTTTGAAACTTAAGTGTTCATCTCTATATCTTTTGAATCTGCTTTTCCCTGATGGTGCGTTTGAGATTTCCCAGGGTGTTTTCTCAGCTGCATAGTACTCCATGGTTTCTGGGGCTGAGCTTAATACTCTTGCCCAGCTGCCTCCCTTGCTCTTTTCCTGTCTCTATCCTTTGCAGCTGGTTTCAGCACCATTAAAATGACTTATTGGCTCCCCTTAGTCCAGTTGGGCCGCTGTGCCCTTATGACCTGGTCGCCTCTCAAAGGTGCCACTTCCCAATATGGGGACTAGGTGTCAAGAGATGAAGTTGAGGAGGACACAGACGTTCAGAGGCAGCACTTCTGCAGTCAGGGTGGGCACAGGAGCTGAGCGGCCTGGGGGCATTGTGTGTGTCCAGCTCTCTCTGTCCTCTCGCGTGAGGGTGCTGGAGGGTGCTGGGGTCCCCCTAGGCAGAGGGGCATTTCCCAGCAGGTGCTGTGGGCAGTGAGTCTACCCAGGGCGTGTGCTCTGAGGATCGCCTCTGGCCGGGAGAGGCTGGGGGTTGTGTTGAGAGGGTGGGGCAGTGAGCCTCGCTTCTCTGCATGGTGGCTTTCAGACCTCCCTTCTGCTGCTCCAGAGAGCTGGCCTTGCTGAGAAGGGCGGTAGGTGACCGCTGCCTAGCCCAGAGGGCCTGTGTGCCACCCTTCAGGGACAGAGACCAGGAGCAACGGGACCCGCAGGAAGGAGCGTGGCCAGGTGGGGCAGGGAAAGGGTACTGTGGCCAGTGCAGGGTCTGGGGTTGCTAAGGGGTGGTGCAGGGTGGACGCAGAGTTCCCACGGCCCTCGGATGGCCTCCTCCTGAGGGCCTCTCCACCCAGCACCTGTTGGCTGGCCCTGGAGGTGTTCTGCTTGCCCTTGTTGGTTTCCTCAGCAATGGGCAGGAGCGTTGGCAGAGGTGGCTGTTGGTGGCTGAGCCATTCTTCACCTCCGCTGACCTCTGAAATCTTTGATTCATTCAGAGGCCCCAGCACTCTTGCCCCTGGCTCTTGTGGTTTTGCACACGTGATTTCCCTGCGGCTTCTGGAGGCGCTGTGGGGACTGAGGGCGCATTCACATTCCCCAGGGTTTGGGAGCCGAAAGGTGCTGGGTGGGGTCCTGGACGTTAATACAAGGCCCAGGAGAAGGCGAGCTCAGGCGCACTCTGGACAGAGCTGGCCACGCCTCTGCGTCATGACCTGGGGTGGTCTCACTGCCCGGGTTTTTCTTGCCGTGCCCCTCAGGTGAGCCTTGCCAGAGGTGGGGACTTTTCAGCAGCATCTTTGGCAGAAAAGAGACCCTGTGGAGGGTCTGGCTGTTGGGAGACTGTAGCAGTGTTAAGGCATGGGCCTGGTGGCTTTCAGAGAGGACAAAGAACCCCGTTTTCTTGGGTATGTTCTAGGTACTGTGGGAAGAGGCACTTCTTTTGTATTTTCATTATTTGGGTTTGGGTTTTGTTGGTGGTGGTGCTGGGGATAGAACACGGGACCTCACTCATGCTAAGCTGGTGCTTTAGCCCTGAGCCCCAGCCCAGCCCAACATTTCTATTTTAATACTACCACTTAGAGTGGGCATGATGCCCCTCACTTCTGTTGATGTGAAACCTAGTCTCACAGAAGCCAGGGGTTCTGTGAAAGGTGGGCCTGGCTTTCAGGGCCAGGTGAACTGCCTCAGGGCCTGTGATCTTGCAGTTATGCCAGGTCACATCTAAACATGGAGATCCCGCTGTGGGCTCTGGGGAGGGCTTCAGTGCAGATGGCCACTCCCGTTCGTGTTAGACCAGAGGCCGGCCCAGCCTCAGTCAGCGGCCTTCTCTCTCCACCTGTCATCATGAGACAGGGCTCAAGCCACATGCCCCACACCTCTGTCCAGAGAGGGGGACACTTCCTTGCATGGACCCAGTGGCTCTGCCAGTCAGTGTGTTAGTTGTAGGTGGACACAATGCCTTTATTTTGTTCATCTTTGTGGGGCGCTGAGGGTGGAACCCAGGGCCTCACACATGCAAGACAAGTGCTCCACCGCTGAGCCCCAGGCCCAGCCCACGGGTTTTCTGTTTTCATTCTCTTTCTGGAACCCACTGAAAGCTGCCAAGGGCCTCAGAGGTCTGGGGGGGGGGTGCGTGTCTCTGGGAACCACATAATCAACTCAGCTCTGTTTTCTGAAGGCCGGCGGTCACCTGGACTGCACAGGCAGCGAGAGCGGCGCTGTGCACGGGGGTGGGAGAGGGCCTGAGGCGGTCCTCACCCCCACCTTGGGGGTGCCCTACTGCGACCTCTAGGCCCAATCCCCTCCCTTTTCTCATTCTGTGGAAAGGTCTTCCCTTGGCCCAGGGCCAGCCAGTGCCCAGGGTAGACATTGATGAATTTGGGTGGTGGAAACTTCTAGAGATGAACAACGGTTGCGTTACAGTGTGAATGGATTTAATGCTGACCACATATTGAAAATAGTGAACCTGATCACAGATCTCACTCACTCAGACCTCAAGGATTGTGAGAAGAGTAACAACAGAGATCACTGTTACAGGGAGGGATCGACATTGACAGGGCCTTGCTGGGCGCCGGGCGGAGAACTGGACAGTTTCTTTGTGAACCTTGTAATAACCGCATGTGGGGACGCCTGGCCCCGTTTTGTAGCAGGATCAACCGAGACTCAGAGTTGAAGGGACTTGCCCCAAACTACCCAGGAAAAGGGAGATCTGGTGTTGGACTCGGAGGTCTTTGGGATTGTGTTTGCCACGGGTGGGGGTCTAAAGGGAAGCTGGAAAAATGGGAGCGAGCGGTTTTGAGTTTTGGTTTTGCACAGAGGATTTTGGTCTCTTTGGGTCACTCGAACGAGGTACCACGAGCTGGTAGCTTATGGATATCGTAAGTCTGTTCCGCACAGCTCCGGAGGCCGATTTGTGCCTGCCGTGAGCCTGGTTGACAGGCGTGGTCTCGTGTAGTGGGGGGGTGAGGACCCCTGGGCTCTCCTGCTTTGATTTTACCTGCACTGCTCCATCCTGGAGGGTCTTCCCCATAATCTGATGACCCCCAAGGCCTTGCCTTCAGCACCCTCACTCGGGGGGAGAGTTTCAACACCTGACGTCTGGAGAGAGACAAACACTCAGACCGCGGCAAGCCTTGTCACCTCGTGTCTTTCCCCTGGTCCTCGCACACCTCTGACGCAGAGGAGTGGGGGCTCCATCCAGAGTGGGAGGGCGCTGCCTGGTCTCCCTGGGCGAGGGGGACTGAGCAGAGCCCCTGTGCCTGCTGCCAGGAGCCCCATAGTGCATCTTCCGTCCTGGCTGCCAGGAGAGGAGCGGCCTGACGTGCATCTGCGGGCAGACACCGGCACCCTGAGTGCTGACGGCCTGTATCCGCCGTGCCAGGCGGTGTCCCTGCCAAGATAAGGCCAGCTCCTCACTTAATCTCCCCGGCCAGCCCCTCCCCGCTCCGCTGCCTCACACCATGCCCAGACCAGAGGCCAGGGACGTCACCAGAGCCCAACTGCTGTGTCACCGTTCTCATTTCTGCTCTGGTCTTGTCCTCTGTTCCCTGGTTTTGCTCTTCTTGGTTTCAAATTTGAGTAGACGGCTTTGCCCGTCTGTCCGTACCACCCCCTGGTCCCCTCCTGGTCCCCGGTGTTCAACTGTTATGCTGTGGCTCACACTAGAGGCACTTCATGGTCACTTTGGGTTTTTCCACTTGGCCTCGGAGACGGTGTCCTGACCACAGAGCCACGTGGTGGCTGAGCAGAGGGGATGACACTGTGGAAGCTCTTGGTTTCAGAACCAGGGCCGGCCTTCCTCACCTGTGTGAACTCACTGTCCTTACCTGGTGGGACCCGGTCCGTCTATTGTGAGCTGAGTTATTTTGCCTGAAGAAGGAAATAAAATGGTCTGTGGGTGGTACCCGAGTGGGGAAAAACAGATCCACGTTGAAAATGCAACGGCGGCCGTTGGAGTTGCTTCCTGGAGGTGTTGTCCTAGTGAGTCACGCAGCCAGGAAGAACAGGAGCCGCAGTCTTCTCAGCCTCCTGACCACCAGAGCTCAGGCTTTTCCTTGTGCTACAGAAAACAGTTCAGCCCCACCCCCAGCTCCCCATTAAAAAAATATGTGCTTCTAGTATAAAATCCAGACAAGTTTAGAAGGAGAGAATTCATAGAATTCAGAAAGTCTCTTCACCCAGGCAGTTGGTTAGCACCTTGGTGGGTTTTTTTGTTTGTTTGTTTTTCATGTACACGTGCATCTAAAAAATATAAACAAAGTTGAGATCTTGCTTTCCCCTAAACGGTTTAAGCATTTCTCATGCCATTAAACTCTTCTTAAAAGCATCCTATGGGGCAGGGGTGTGACTCAGTGGGACAGCGCCTGCCTAGCATGAACAAGAGGCCCTGGATCGGATCTCCAGCTCTGTGCCCCCAAATAAAGAAGTCTCCACCATCACGTGAGTGGGCCATTGATTGTTGGACCATTCCCATTTTGGGGACTGCATTTGCAGTTTTGCACTGTGACACATGATAGTCCTTACAGTTATACCTCTGTCCTCATTGATGATTTCCTTGGGAGAGGATCTTAAAAGGAGAATTAACTGGATCAAAAGATGTGTCTGTCTTCCCGTTTCTTCTCTATGGACAAATTGCTTTTGAGGAAAACTTGGACCAAAATAGACATTCGTCCAGCAGATCTCCTGATGCGTCGACTTGAGCATTCATGCTCACAACTGCTGAGGACCTGCGTGAAAAGTAGAACCACGTTGGCGTTCTTACTTTGATGATTAGCGGAGTTGAACATTTCCCCAGGTTTTGTTAGCCACTTTTTAAAAATTCCTATTAGTTTGTTCTCGTCCTTTGGTACTTGTGAGGCGTTAGCCTTTCTCCTCTCTGTTCTTGTTATGTTGGGGACGGTGCCCCTTCGACGGGATAGTGTATTTTTCTCTGCCAGGTTGGTGTGGTTGCTGGAGCTGTTGCATGTGTGCATTTCATTTCTACACGGGGGGCAGCTTTTTGTTTTCCCTTTGACATTTTGCAGGTACTCAGGGGTTCCTTGCAGCTGTCCTTCAACTCTGACCCCCTCTAGTCCTCCTGTCACCTTCCGTTGTCAGCTGCTGTTTGTAGTTAAGTATCTTTGTGCGCACCTCACCACCTTCTTCTAGCAACCTTTTCTAGGAAGTGCTAGTCACTTTGTCTAGGTTAAAAAAATAAAATCCCCCCCCCCTTTGGTGTCCATGTGAGTAGATGGAACAGGGGTGAACTTTGTAAAATAGGTCTTTGCGCAGTCGTGAAAACTCAGCTGGGCCTCTTGCCCAGGATCCTGTGTGCCAGCTGAAGGATCCACAGGGCAAGGAGTTGTAATATAAAGGGCTATTTTTGTGCTCCCAGACTCCTGCAGCGAAAGAACTTGAACTATTTCCAAACCAGATGCATCCTCCTGGTTGATAGATTCTGCTATTTCCTGGCTTGTGTGTTTATTCTTAGGGCCAAAGCTTCGTGCTCGGTAAACGGAGCACATGCCAGTGCTATGTGATCCATAAGGACTGATCTGTCCTTCCATATCCAGAGGGGAACCCCAACCCTAGGGCAAGGACACTCGGGGAATTTCTCGACTTTGAGAAGATGGGGAACTTTCCAGTCCTGGCTCTCTGGAGTTCATGGAGATTCTTCAGAGATTTGGCAAACTCTGAAGCATTGTCTCTCCCCCCAATCTCCCCACCTGGAACCCAGGGCCTCATACCTGCAAGTCAAACTACTGAGCTTCAGTCCCAACTGTTTTTTTGAAGTTTATTTTGAGACAGGGTCTCACTAAGCTCAGGTTGGTCTCCGACTTGCGATCCTCCTGCCTCAGCGTCCAGAGTTGCTGGGATCATAGGCGTACACCTCTACACACGGCTTCTCTGAAGTATTTTAGGCACCTGGATAAGAATTTCAGTCAGTTTGAATGTGTTTTGTGGCTGATTTTATGTGTTTGGAAGTTTTTGCTTTGTTGATTGCTGACGTGTTTAGAATATTCCTGACCCAGACACCCTCCGATCTCTTCTGGTTCTGAATAATCTTGTTCAGGCCCTTCTCACGCATCAGTGATCCCTGGCCGCTTCTTCAAGAGTGGTTTCCAGGTAATGAATATGGGAAACCTTTTTCCAGGTAATGAAAGGAACCAAAGGAAGACCTCGGCTCACCAATTTCAGACTTGAACAGACTCAGGAACCGGGACCAGTGTTTTCTTTTTCCTTTTGTCCCCCAGTGGTGGCCTGGTGACTCACGGGCCACGCACATCCCATGCTCAGGTGTGGGGCTCCTCATCCACCTTCCCCCGGGAGTCCTCACTGTTGTGAGCTGTGTTCCTTCTGTCCCAGGCAGGGAACGTGGTGACAGGCGAGATGGTGGAGGAGCTCATTCTCTCGGGAGCGGATATCATTAAAGTGGGAGTTGGGCCAGGTAAGACCTTGAAGCCCCTGGAGGGCGTCTGTGGGGAGGATCGGGCCTGGGGCTTGGGGGCCCTGGGAATGACCAGATGGGAACACAGGAACAACTCACCCATGGGTCCAAAGCCTATCTCCTCTGGAAGCATCATTGAGCTTCCAGACAGAGCTCCTGGGAAGAGAGGTCCTTGAGTTCATTGTGACGCCTCCGGACGGCATTGAGAGGAGCAGAGATGAAGTTGGAATAGGGGGTCCTGGCTCCAGAGCATCCATGTGGAAGAGGGGATGGCAGAGTTCATTAACAAGCTGAGTGCTCTGATGAGGAAGGGAGGACGGAGAGGAGGAAGGGAGGACGGAGAGGACAGTTAATGCACAAGGATGGCTCATGAGCAGGGATGTTTGAAGAGCCCCAAACATTGCAGATCGGCGTGTGGCTGTGAATCCACATTTGAACGTCACCTGTGACCAGGCACGCATCACTGTTGGCTCCTCACCTGGCAGCCGGCAGGCAAGATTTCGCCCATTTCCCCTTCAGGCCTTCTCTGCTAGGACCACCCGTTGGCATCTTGAACGGAGGAGAGAGGTGGAGGTCCTTGTGCTGGGTGGTGCTGTGGTTTCCTGGGTCCACTGGTGTCCGCCCTCCCGTGTGCCGTGCGGGAGGCTGAATCCACTGCTGTGTTGGTGACGAGTTCCCTGTATGTCAGTTATTAATCAGATGCCAACATTAGAGAGCAGGAAAGAAGACGTCCATTTTCATACTAGGACTAAAAAAACCAGCAAAGATGTTTAAAAGCACCTCCCACCCAAGAGACACCATGATAAAAGGCAGTGGACCATAAGCCAACGAGAGGAGTCTGCGGAGGGTACGGCTGGAGGCCAGGACTCCGGTGGGTGGTGACTTGGCCTGGTGCAGAGGGGAGGGTTCGAGGGACCAGGACATGGAGGAAAAGAGGAACAACAGCCCTGTGGACCTATAGAATAACCAGCCTTAGACCTCTTGGGAGGTCTTCGGTTCGACTATTCCAGTGTCTCAGAGTGTGGTTGCCATCACGGGGGGGGG